CGGTCGTCCTACTGTCCCGCGTCGGGTGTGGTGTGCCATTTCTTTTTGCATCTCTCTCCCTCTCCGCCTCTCTCTTCTCGAACGTCCAACGCCCGTGCGCGTGGCGCATCGCGCTGTACTTGGCGAGCATGGGGGCTGTGGGTGCGCAGAGAGTCCACGCGCTTAGCGCTGGCGTCATGTGTAATGCGCGCAGCTCGAGGTCAGATGTATCGGAGAGTGCGCCCGTGGACGAGTCGAGTGCGCCGATACCTCCATCGGTCACGTTCGTGGCGCAACTGGACTTGCGGTTCGGTCGGCGATGGCTTTGGATGTTACAGCATCGCCCAGAGCGCCGCGCTGTGTCGGCGGCGGACTTGGCGGGTGGACACTTTGGAATCGGCGGGTACAGGACGGGTGCGGCGCCCGTCTGTCGGCGCGTGTTACGTTTGTGCCCTCTTGCTTTCGCGTTTGCTCGCTCGGCTTTTCTATCTCTCCATCAGTCTCCTCCCTTCCTGCCCTCACCCGCGAAAAAGAGGAGGAACGGGGGCGTCGTCTGCTTCAGCGTGTGCTGGGTGTGTTCCACTGTCACCGGCGCCGAGCGGATACCGGGCGCTACGCCGCCCATCTGTCTGCGAATTCTGGATCGCCGTGCTCCCTTCTCCCCTTTCCTATCTGTTGTCGTTTCCCTGTCTTCGATGCATGTCTCTTATCAATCTCCCTTCTCTCTCTATACAAAAACACGCACTGACCACCCTTCTTTTCTTTCTTTCTTCCCTGCAGACCCACCAGCGCCGTCTCGGGCTCCTTCCCGCTCTTCCGCACCCCGCAGCAGCAGGCGTACCCAGCCGCAGGCGCAGACAACGCGAACGCGTACTCGCCCCATCCGTACTCGCCCAGTCCACATTCGCATGCGTACCCGCACTCCCCGTATTCGCCGCATCCGTACTCGCCCAGCCCCCATTCGCAGCATCACCACTATGCGGGGCTCGCGCACCCACAGCCGTACTCCCCCAGCCGCGCCGCTTTCAGTGTCGGGCATATGCTGCATTCCCCGCACCTGTCCGCCGTGCACTCGCGGCGCAGCTCGCTCACGGGGCTGCACCGGCATGCCCATGGCCACGCGCGCTCAATGTCCAACTCAAACTCGAACTCCAGCAACTCGAGCTACGCGTCGTCGAGGTCGCAGTTTGGCGGGTCGCCCGCGCAGGGGCAGGCGCAGGCGCAGTTTGGTGGGTCGCCTGGCGCGGGGATGCAGCTGCAACACCAGCAACTCGCGCATGGGCAGGGACAGAGGCAGGGAAGCGGGCACGGGCACGGGGGGCGGACGCGCAGCGCAAGTGTGAGCATGGGGGTGTTTGGGCAGGGGGGGTATGAGCATGAGCGGAGGGGGATGTTGGAGGGTGGGTTCCTGCCGCCGCCTGCGTTGAGGTATGTGTCGCCGCATGGTGGAGACAATGAGGGATATGGGGCACAGGGGCAGGGGTACGTGGAGGGGATGGGGATGGGGATGGATGTTGACGAGGGGGGCAGCGGTGGGATGTCGATGGGTGCGACGAACACGAACACGGGTATGAACATAAGCACAAGCATGGGCGTTAGTCCGCTCCGGGGGTGGGTCGAGCCGCCGAGCACGAGCTTGCCTGTGTCGTCGTCCTCTTCGTCATCCTCTTCGTCTGTCCATGGACACGCGCTCTCCTCAACGTCGATGCAAGGACTCCGCTCGCCCTACCCGTCACCCTCCGTGTTCGCGTCAGCGTCGGCGACGAGCACGTACAGGTTCCCCGCCACGGCGTCGATGCAAGCGCTCCGCTCGCCCTTCCCCTCACCCTCCGCGGCCGGTGCGAATACAAACACGTTCGAGATGCTGGGGACGGGAATATTGTCGCCCGGACTGGCGCCGCCCATGTCGCCTGCGCTCCCGCCGTCGTCGCCTCTGTCGCGCAACCCGCCGGTGTTTGGCCCGGGGTCACCTGGGGGCCACGCACACACCCACGCACAGGGCATGTTCTCCCCCGCTATGCCGCTGATGGGGCTGCACATCCCGGAGGGGCGGGCGCGGGTGCGCACGCAAGCGATGTCGGGGAGCGTGTCGGGGGCGTCGATTGGGGGGCTTGATGCGCTGGCGGAGGGGAGTCCTGATCCTGATGTTGGGATGGGTGATGTTGGGATGGGGATGGGGATGGGGATGGGGCGCAGGATGTCGGAGGCGGGGCTCGAGTTGGGGATGGGGAGTCCGAGTCCGACGCTTGGAAGCGGGAGCGGAGACAGAGTGGGGAGGGCACGCGCTGCGACGGTTAGTAGCCCGGGTATTTAAGGCGTGGGCGTCGTTGTCGGTGCCACCCAGAGTGCGGAGTGCGGAGTGCGGTCCATCCTATTCACCTATCCCTTTGACACATCCTACTCCGACTTGCACGACTGGCATTTGTTTTCTTCCACGACCACACACGACTTTATTCTTCTTCCCTGGGTCTTTTGTTACGAGGCGTTTGTTGATTATCGAGGCATTTTTTTGGGCAGGGAGACACGTACGATACGACCATACGATACGATTCAATACGATTTCGAGATTTTGTTGTACGAGTATGCGAGTATGATGATGATTATGAGAACGTTGAATTCGAAAATCCGCGGTGAATGCAAGGTGAATGTGGGCGAGCAGGGAACCTGAGGGAAACCAAGGAGCGAAGTTAGGAACACGAATTGATTGGATCACTGATTTCGCGGAGGGTGTGAATTTGATGTGCGTTTGTGTGAAGGGTGGGAGGGAATTACGTCATGTTCAACTTGTGGTTGAACTTTCGGGTTTTCGAATTGTGAGTCTACAAGAGATACGCGCGACGACAGATTTTGAGGGGATACTCTTGGCGAATCTAGATGCATGGTGGACGTCTAGAGGAGAGCTGATGTAACTCGCAGTGAGTGCAACCTTCGATCTGAATCTCAAGCTGACACCGAATTTAGGACGTTCATTGGAGCCAGTGGGAGTGCGGAACAAGCGGACGTGGTGCGTGGTGCACGGCTGTAGCCTATAGGTGGCTTTCGAGAATTCACGCAGCTAAAGGGGTTCGACTCCCCGCGTCCGCACTTCACAGGTGCAATCATATCCTTTGTTTTGCCCCCAGTTCAGGGTGAGATACAGAACTTACCGGCCTCTAGAAAGTGTAGTTACGCGGAGTCGTGCACGGTTTTTTTTTTTTTTTTTTTTTTTTTTTTTTTTGAATCCTCGTTTATAATCTTGTGTGCCTAAGGCATATGGTAGATATAAACCTATACTAATAGTAAACTGGGTTCTCTGGGCGTTTCATAAGTAGTGGGATCGTCAGGCTCGAAACTTTGCGACACCGTGACAGGACGGGCGCGAAGCGGAAATACCGCGGTGGGAGCTAGGCTCCAGTAGATGTGGTCGTGATGGTTCGTAAGTAAAGTCATAGGTAGTCGTAAGGAAAGAACTTACCGGCCTCTAGAAAGTGTAGTTACGCGGAGTCGTGCACGGTGCACAGCTGCGAAGTGTTGCTCGTTTTTCTTTGGCAATTGCGCAGTCATACCGGGTTCGACTCCCGGCTCCCGCATAGCTCTGTCGAAAAATCTTTGGTGGAATCTCTGGTTGGTTAAAAAAAACTCTATGCGAGACTTGAATAGGGTGTTTCATAATAGGATATGGGGCCCAACTCGGGCTCCAACTCGAGCTCCAACTTGGGTCTCAACTTGAGCAAAGTTGGGCCATAACTTGGACAGTCTATCTTGAACGCCCTTTTCGGTGTCGAGTGCCTCAACTTGGTCGCCGAGCGGGTGATCCGAGTCTGACAAGCCAAATTGCGAACTAGCCGAAGTTGGAGACCGAAGTTGGGGACGAAGTTGGACAAAAGTTGGATGTCAAGTCGTGGTCCTATGCACGACTTGACATCCAACTTCGATTTTTGGCTCCAACTTCGGTCCCAACTTCATCTCCAACTTCGCAAAGTTGGAGCTCAAGTTGGAGCCCAAGTTGGGCCCCAAATCCTATCATGAAACACCCTAATGGAAAGAAGATAGCTATGACCTTATTTCTCGTCAAATATTCGAGCATTGGTTCCAAAGTTCAGCTGTGCATCCGAAGTTTTTCGGCAAGTGTGAGTGGAAGTTAAACTTGAAGTTCAGGCACTCCCCAGCTGTCTGTGAGTTGGATCACTTGGCTGTGTGCCTTGCACTCACAATTCAACGGTGTTGCTCTTGCGTCATTGTCTTGTGCCATGCATAACTGTGATGATTTTGTACGATTTTGTGCCTGGTATGGTTTGGGTATGGTCGCACCTTGAAAAAAAGCCGGCCGGATTGGGCCATCAGATGTGCTTCAAAGTTATTCGGCTGACCCGGCCATACCTTTCTGGATACCCTGTCCGCGGTGTCCATTCAATGTCCAGTAGGCCGGCCGGGGTCGTGCCATAGTACTGGAGCATGAGTACGGTGACATATGTCTAAGTTGCGATGCAATACAATATTTCTTGAACTTCGAGTTCAACCTTGCGAAAAACTTCAGGTCGACTATTCCATCTCCCCAAATAGTATTGATAGCGACCTCGATAGCCACGAAACTAGATTATTTGATGAAAAAAGAGTTTATAGATAGCACTACTTTCGAACAACTTGTGGTTGAACTTTCGCGGTTTCGAATCATGAGCTTACAAGTGGTAAGTACAAACACGATTTACGAGAATACTCTTCAGTGGCGAATCTACATTATGGGCGTCTGCTGGAGGGCGCCCGGGCTGGTACAATTTAAAGTAAGTGCAACCTTCCTCAGGTCACAGGCTGAGGCCGAAATTGGGTCGTTCATCAGTGCCAGTGGGAGTGTATAAGAAGCGGACGTAGTGCGTGGTGCGCGGCTGTAGCACGTAGGTCGGTAGAGAGGCTCTTCAAGAATTCACGCAGCTAAAGGGGTTCGACTCCCCGCGTCCGCACTGCACAGCTGCAATCGTATCATTTGTTTTGTCCCAGTTCAAGGAGAGATGCAGAGCCTACCAGCCGTTAGAAAGTGTAGTTAAGCGGGCGTCGTGCACGGTGCACAGCTGCGAAGTGTTGCTCGTTTTTCTGTAGAGATTGCGCAGTCATACCGGGTTCGACTCCCGGCGCCCGCATACTAAACTCTGTCGGATTTTTTTTTTCTTGGAATCTCTGGTTGGTAAGGTTTTTTTCTATGGGAGACTTCAATGGAAAGAAGATAGCACTACTTTCGAACAATGATACGTATACTTGAGCGAGGCGGTGTGGGTTTGATTTGATTTTTCTTTCGTGAAGGATGGACGTCATGTTCGACTTCCGGTTGAGTTTTATACCTGTTCGATTCTAATACAGTGTCACAGCGCCGGAAATGAGACGGCTGAAAAGCTCAGATCTCCGGATGGTCGTGTTTGAGCCAGCTCGAACGCAGATGGGGTATCCGACGTTAGATTCCTGGGTGGTAATCCGGGAAACAACTCGAACACCTACGATAGAAATCGATTCGGCTCCTCGTGTAAAAACAGCTGAAATCTTACATAGAGTAAGCAGGAAAAATGAACCTAGTCGTACACAAAGTGGAATGTAACCTCAAACCATCCCGCGGATGTGGTGTGCGACACACAGCTGTGACCTGTAAAATGTGGAGTTATGAGTCAGCAGTTGAAGTTGAACAGGGTTCGACTCCCTGCGTCCGAACTAGAGAGAACAGGACTATCTTTTTCGGGCGGACCACCGCGTTGTATATTGATGGCGCTACTATACGGACAACCAATGTCTCACGGGAATGGATCGTATTCTCCTACTCCATAACATACTCCATCGACATCGACGCCATCGACATGCTGCGATACTACCCCGCCAGCGCCGAAACGGATGAGATCTCCACCATGCGGATCACTGGCGACGAGCGGGTTCCAGCCCAAGGCCTTCTGCGGGCCATGGTACGGATCCGTGGCAAAGGCGAGGACGTGGTCCTGCATCGCATGGCTGACCTCGACCTCGAAGCTGGTGGTGTTCGCTATGCCGTCCAGAAGGTCATATGTGCCAAAGATGATGGGCAGGTCGCTGGCATGGTAGGCGCCGAGCCAGTCGTAGTAGTTCAGGTTGGGGAACACGCCCGCATGCTGGAAGCGGAAGACGGGCACGCCGATGCGGTTCCGATACACGGTCGAGTTGTAGCTCGGACACACGGCGCTGGCGATGTCGCGGGCAGTGACCGTCGGCTGGTACGGACCTGCGGTGACGTTGTCGAGCGGCCAGGGAACCAGGGTCGAAAACTCGTTGGCCGTGTTGGAGATGAGGGTCGGCACACGCGCAATCAGGCCTGCCTCAGAGCGCGCGGTGTAGTTGGAAAAGATGGTGCGGTCGTCGGGGACCCCTTGGAAATCCAACACGGGCTTCTCGCCCCGATCGTTGTACTGCCCGATGAAGTTCGTGATCATCGCGAATGGCACCCGGCGCATGCAGTCGAGCTCCGCAGCACCATCCGCATCGTCGTCGCCGCAGGGGGTCCCGCACCCGACGTTCTGCGCCACGAAGCTGAAGTTGGAGAAGGTCGGATCAGGCTTGGGCTTGAAGAAAATCGCGGTCCCTGATTGCATCCAGTAGGCGTGGGCGATGGGGTCCTGGTAGTACGCATAAGCGTGGATGTCAGCGGCGACGGATCCGGCCGACTGGCCCCACATCGTGATGCGGGTTGGGTCACCGCCGAAGGCGGCAATGTTGTCGTGGACCCACTCCAGTGCGGCGCGCTGGTCGAGAATGCCGAGGTTCTTGTCGGTCAGGCCGCGTGCGTTGGGGAAGCCGAAGATGTCGAGGCGGTAGTTGATGGTGACGACGATGTGCGACTGTGTCCGCTCGACCCACGGCGTCGGGAACTGCCACGGGATTTCGACGCCGCCGAGGATAAAGCCGCCGCCCGTCATAAAGAAGAGGACGGGGAGACCAGTGGCGGGACGTGGCGCCGAGGCGGCTGGCGCCCACACGGCCAGGTACAGGCAGTCCTCGGACGAGGCCACGCTCACCAGCCCCGACGAATCGTTCTGGTTGCCGTTGTAGATTAGGTTGCCATGGGTGAGGTTCAGGCTGTAGATCGACGTCACCGCCGTCACGAACTGCGGGCACGACGGCGGGAACTTAGTCGCGTAGTGATGCTCGCTCGGCGACGAAGAAAGCTTTTGTGGCGGCAGCCAGCGACGCGACAGCACGGGCGGCTCGGCGAAGGGGATGGCGCGGAATTGTCGTGTATTGGGAAACTCGGGGTCTATGAGCCCAGTGTAAGTGCCCGTGGAGGTTTGGACGGTGAGATTTTCTGAACTCGGGCAAGACGCCGAGAGGCCCAGGACGACGTCAGTCGCCAGCGCAAGAAGGGGGAGGATCCTGAGCTTCATGTTGCGTAGTCTGTGAGTGTTGGAGCTCGGGGGCTCGAGTTTTTATAAAGAGCGCTTAGCGTGGCCGCCGCTGGCCGCCGATGATACCTTCCTACCTACCTACCTGAAGATCATGGTTTTGAACTTTAGCGAGGGCGGGATTCTGTAAGTTGGCGTGATTGCCGGGAAATGGAGACGATAAGGTCTTATCCGGTGAAGCCTTGCAGCGACAGTGGCATGGCTTGCGTGAGGATCGGTCGAAATGGAACAGTATTTCGCGGAGAAACCGAGAAGGAGGGAAGGAGAAGGAGAACTTGAGAGATTGACGTGGTGGAACTTGACTGATGATCGATAATCAACCCGATTTGATCCGCTTCGCTCCCTCGTCCTTCTTTCATCCCAAGCCGCTGAATCTGCACGGCCAGCTAGTGGGTAATCAACTCACCGTGCTCGTGGGACTCTGAATGAATCCCCGACCCGAGTAGCGGCGCTTTTTCTGGCCTCTCTTCTGTGCTTCGCGTCTGGCAGCCCGTCGCGTCGTCTTCTCGTCAACGTACACGAATCCTAAAAGCATCTTGCATCTCGTTCAAGAAGCTCTTGGGTTTACTCTACCTTGGCTTCTGGTTCGCGGGAGGCTCCCGGCCAATCCATAGGACCCCGTTTATCATATCTATCGGACGCAGATCCTATCCTGGCCGCAAAGAATCTAACACCAATCGCGCTCCCTCGCGATCTCAGGTCTACGTTCACCCGGCCAAGATCGACCAACGTTAACTGTGACGATAAAACATACACACCAATTCTTTCTATGTTGAACACCGCCCGACGCCGCCCGTCCCCTATCCCTACAATCACACCCCAACTGACTGTATACGCCCCTGCGTATGACAGAAGTAGAACTTCCTCCGTGGAATGTCTCGGAACTCAATCATCTCCGCGGCCGACGTACCGGTGGCCTCCTTTCTTTGGGTGTACTCGAGAATCCGTCCTTGTCGCTCTTTCGCAGGTACCCGGGCCCGTTGACATCGCGCTGAACATATAGTATCCCGCTGTACCTGTCTGGCTCTCGCAACGTCCCCGGCCGCAACGTTCCTCAAAGCAGTCTAATTATAAGGAATAACAAGGGAAAGTGGACGTAGTGCACACTGCGCTGAATAGCTTATTCAGATCTCTGTTTGCAGTCATTCGGGGTTCGGATCCCCGCGTCCACATGCGTTGAGGACGGGAACTTTTTTTATTTTTCTTCTTCTTCAGTTCGCGCACTTTAAGTCGCTCCTTCGACAAGGACCTCGTCCAGAGGCCGGGCAAGTGAATGGTAGATCCTCCGAATTCTCCCTCGAAGTCGTTGAAAGTCGAAACCTGTTCTCCCTCACATTTTCAAGTTGAGTCTCATCTCAACCAGCCTTGGAGGGAACAACGAGAGGAAAGTGGATGTAGTGCACGGTGCACGGCTGCCCTCAATTCCACCTCCCTTTGAGAATTTGCAGTCATTCGGGGTTCGATCCCCCGCGTCCACATGAGACGAACAAGGCGCACCTTTTTTTCTTTCCTCCTCTCTCGCGGTTCGCCAAACGAAATTTCTCCCCGCAGGAACGTGCATAGTGGAGCCATAAGATTCTCCCTCGAAACGTTGAGGCTGACACCCGTTTTGCTCACAATTTCAAGTTGAAACCCAGCCCACCTACAAAGTACGGGAGATAATGGGAAGAGGAAAGTGGATGTAGTGCACGGCGCACGGCTGCGCTGAATGATGTCTGCTCATTTTCTAGTTTGCAGCCATTCGGGGTTCGACTCCCTGCGTCTACATTTCTAGGTCATGTATCTGTTTCTTTTTTCAGCCCTCTCGCAGGTGGACGACCCATTTCTCAACGCAGAAACCGGTTGCTTTGGCAGCTGCAGCTTCTACCGCCAACTGGTGTGTTGAAACCTCTTTTTGCTCACAGTCTCATGTTGAATTTCATCTCAACCAGTACGTCGAGGAAGGGGAAGTGGAAAGTGGACGTGGTGTACGGCGCACGGCTGCGCTGAATCATGTAACGCTCTAATTGATGATTTCGGAGCCATCGGGGTTCGACTCCCCGCGTCCACATAGAAGTCCATCCTGGCTTTTCTTTTAGCTCTCTCGCTCACAGTTGAATACGACCGTCTCACAACAAGGAAAGCCTGCACACGGCCCCGCAATCAGACGGTTGATCCCCTCAAATTTACGCTCGAAGTCGCTGTACGTTGAAATCTGTTTTCTTTCACAGAACTAATCCGAAACCCTTCTCACCTAGCACGGCTATGGATGAGAAGAAGAACGTGGATGTAGTGCATGGCGCACGGCTGCGCTGAATCCCACTCTTCCGCCGATTCCGCAGCCATCCGGGGTTCGACTCCCCGCGTCCACATTGAGCGCCCAGTAGGAAGTTTTTTTTTCCCTCTCTCGCGGTTTTGTCTCGCCTCAATCTTGACATTCTGGGCATAGGAACAGAGGACGCACCGCCCGTCGCTTTGAAATTTACGAGTATCCCGCTTTAAAACCCGTTACATGTAAGTATTCGCTGACAGCTTTTACTGCAAAAGAAAACAGCGTTGTCCAGACGTGATTTGAGCAGCTGTCGGGGTTCGACTCCCCGCGTGCACATTGGTCTGCTGGAAGTCTAGAACTTGTTCCCCTTCTCTCTCGCAACTTGTCTCGTTTCGTCTGGGCTGGGATACTTATACAACGATCCCACAATCTGAGATTCTTTCCATTTCGAATTTCCAATTCTTGGGTCATTCTTTCT